AAACCATCACCAACAAAGGTTGGGATTGAGTCCCCTGCGTTTTTAGAACGTATACAAGGGGATATTTGTGGTCCTATTCACCCACCTAATGGGTCGTTTAGATATTTTATGGTCTTAATAGATGCATCTGCTAGATGGTCTCATGTATGCCTATTGTCATCTCGCAACCTGGCATTTGCAAAATTAATGGCACAAATAATCCGATTACGGGCACAATTTCCTGATAATCTAATTAAGTCTATTAGACTTGATCATGCCACTAAATTTTCATCCCAAGCATTTAATGATTATTGCTTATAAATTGAGATAAAAATAGAACATTCTGTAGCTCATGTTCACACTCAAAATGGCCATGCAAAATCTTTGATTAAACATCTGCAATTGATAGCAAGACCATTACTCATGAAAACCAAGTTACCCACTTCAGTTTGGGGTCATGTCATTTTGCATGCAGCAATGTTAATTCGTCTCAGACCAACAAATTATCATAAATATTCCCCGTTGTAATTAGTTTTGGGTCATGAACCTAATATATCCCATCTAAGAATTTTTGGATGCGCTATATATGTGCCTGTAGCACCACCATATCGCACCAAGATGGGTCCCCAAAGAAGGTTAGGAATATATGTTGAGTTTGAACCGCCCTCCATTATTCGCTACCTCGAAACATTAACGGGAGATTTATTCACTGCTCGATTTGCAGATTTTCGATTCGATGAGGCATTTTCCCCAAAATTAGGGGGAGAAATTGGTGAAATCAAATGGGAAATTTCGTGGAAAAATCCATCATTGTCTCATTTTGATTCACTTGCCTTTATTTGTGAAAAAGAGGTGCAAAAGATTATCCATTTGCAGAAAATAGTAAATCAAATGCCAGATGTATTTACGGATCTAAAAAGGATAACGAAATCACATATCCCTGCAGAGAATGTTCCAATCCGTATTGATGTCCCTGTTGGACAATCTTCTAGTGTCATATCTAATGAGTCAAAAGCACGCCTAAAGCGTGGCAGACTATTGGGCTCTAAGGATCGAAATCCTAGAAAAAGAAAAATAAATTATCAAGATGACACTACAAAAGAGTCTCATAAAGAAACCCATGATTTAACCAATCCTGATATTCATGTGGATTATGTATTTGCATACAATGTTGCATCTAGCATTATGTAAGATAATGAGGATCTTGAATCTCAATCTGTTGGAGAATATTGACAAAGACGTGATTGGACAAAATGACAAGAAGCAATCGAATCTGAGTTGGATTCACTTGCGAAACGTGAAGTTTTTGGGTCTGTAGTCCAAACACCTAATGGTGTTAAACTTGTTGGCTATAAATGGGTCTTTGTACGTAAAAGGAATGAGAAAAATGAGGCACAAAGATATAAGGCACGCCTTGTTGCACAATGATTTTCACAAAGGCCTCATGTCGATTATGAAGAGACTTATTCTCCTGTTATGGATGCTATAACGTTCTGTTATCTCATTAGTCTTGTTGTCCATGAAAAGCTTGACATGCATTTAATGGATGTGGTTACAGCCTACCTTTACGACTCACTTGATAATGAGATATACATGAAAATTTTCGAGGAATTTAAAATGCCTGACACACATAATTCAAAGTCCATGGAAATGTTTTCAATCAAATTGCAAAGATCTTTGTATGGTCTAAAACAATCAGGAAGAAAGTAGTATAATCGCCTTAGTGAATATTTATTAAAGGAAGGTTATATAAATGATGTCATTTGTTCATGTGTTTTTATAAAGAAAACAACATCGGAATTTGTTGTACTTGCTGTATATGTTGATGACATAAATCTTATTAGAACTCCTACAGAACTCCAAAAGGCAATTGATTATTTAAAGAAGGAATTCGAGATGAAAGATCTCGGAAAGACAAAATTATGTCTTGGTTTGCAAATTGAACATTTGGCAAACAGAATTTTTGTTCATCAATCTGCCTACATATAAAAGGTATTAAAACGGTTTTACATGGATGAAGCACATCCATTAAGTACTCCGATGGTTGTTCGATCACTTGATGCGAATAAGGACCCGTTCCGACCTCAAGAAAAGAATGAAGAGCTTCTTGATCCTGAAGTACCATATCTTAGTACAATTGGTGCACTAATGTATCTTGCCAACACTACAAGGACTGACATAACTTTTTCAGTTAATGTCTTAGCAATATATAACTCTGCTCCTACAAGAGGACATTGGAATGGAATCAAACACATATTGCGGTATCTAAAAGGTACTACTGATATGGGCTTATTTTATGGCAATGATTGCAATCCCGATCTTGTTGGTTATGCCGATGCTGGATATTTATCTGACCCGCACAAGGCTCGATCTCAAACAGGCTATGTGTTTACATGTGGAGGCACTGCCATATCTTGGCGATCAACTAAGCAATCAATCGTGGTTACTTCTTCTAATCATGCTGAGATAATTGCTATTCATGAAGCAAGTCGAGAATGTATTTGGTTGAGGTCTATAATACATCTTATTCGAGATAAATATGGTTTGAAGTGTGACAAACTACCCACAATTTTGTATGAAGACAATGCAGCATGCATAACCCAATTGAATGGAGGATTCATAAAAAGGAGATAGGACAAAGTGCATTTCACCGAAGTTATTTTTTACACATGATCTTCAAAAGAATGGTGATATCAATGTGCAATAGATTCGTTTAAGTGATAATATGGCTGATTTGTTCACCAAACCTCTACCGACGTTAACCTTCAAGAAACTAGTGTACAAAATTGGGATGCAAAGGCTCAAGGATATGAATTGATGCTCTCATCAGGGGGAGTTAATACGCGTTGTACTCTTTTTCCTTTACAAGATTTTCTCCCAGCGGGTTTTCCTTGCAAGGTTTTTAATGAGGCAACCAAAAAGCGTATTTCTAAACATGTGTACTCTTTTTTCCTCACTAAGATTTTTTTTCCTAATAAGGTTTTAACGAGGCACATTATCTATGGACATCCAAGGGGGAGTGTTATAAGAAATATTAAATTATGGTGGATGTCTACTCTTCCTCCATGATCTTCATCTCAAATGCTTAATGACATATTTTCTTCACTTTTCATGTCTATATAAAGACCCTGTAATAGATTGGAAAATACACACAATTGAAGAAAAAATAAGAATCTCTTCTCTCTAAATCTCTTAGCTTATTTTTTCTTGTTGTATATTATTAATTTGAGTTATATTTCATAACATGTTTAATATTTATTTATGCCTCTCACTCTCACCACATGAGCTTAAAATGTGCTATTTATTACACTTCAAACATAACTAGGGGAGTTATAGGACTCTCGTAAAATGGCAAAATCATTCAACGTCGTGGGGGTAATTATGTGTTATATCTAAGTTGCTCCAGAGTTTGTTTGAGGTTTAAATTAATATTCACACTATGTTACGTGGGAATTCATATAAATAATGGTTTTCCCGTTCAACAATCAAATCATAATCAATCACCCTACACCAATCGTTTCATTCACGGCATTATAATTAAATCATAACTAATCACCATTCACCACACAACAATCGTTTCGTTGTTAAGCTCATACTATCGGAGTGACGGTCCTAGTTCTATGACACGTAATTAGTATATGAAAAGAAAAGCCATGTACTATTATATGGTGTAATTCTAGATCTCATTCGTATTCCAGTGGTTTGATTAACCAATACTATTCCTTGCTCTTCTTCATAGATGCAATTAAAAGAAACACGAAAAAAAGAACTTATCCTCTCTCTCTTTCTCTCTGAAACAAAATATCTCCTTCTCATTGATTCAAAATATTTTTCTAGTGTAGTTTTAACTTATAAGTCCAGATAAAGCAGGGAAGAGTAAGATTTGGACAAACAGAAACTTGGGTAAATAGGGAAAGAATTGGTTGGCATAGAAAAGAAAATTGAACCCTTTGAGAGGTAACCATCACATGCATCTCAAACTCAATGGCAATTACAGAGAATACTATCTTTCAACAAGCTTTTTATACTCAACTACTGATATAGACTCATCAAGTTCAATTAATGAGTAATTTAAAAGGCTATAAATCTGGAAACATTTGGGAAAAATGAGTTTTTTCACTAAAAGAACGAAAAGAGGAATTAATTAGTATTGGTCCTACCTGAGCCGAATCTATATGCAACTTTGTACCAGAAAAAAGTTGTAAAGTGCTATTCCATACATGAAACTTTTTGAGTCACAGGTTTTGGGTTTCCATGCATATTCCTACAACTGTTGAGAGGTTGGTTTAATTAGAGAGAAAGACATTCCAAATGGGATAAGTACAACCTACATATCCACATGGATTCTGATATTCTGGTGTATGGTAGTTAGATATGTATCATATTGAAGAAGTGTCACTCTCTATTTTTCTGTAAGATTAAGAAATGGGTATGAAATTCTCCACATTAGTCGATCATTCAGACCCTTTGATTGGACAAGTAAACGTTAAGTTTCTGAATTGTAACCATTCACTAAAATATGAAAATAAATAGGTCCTGTGAATCCCTAAAAAGGTTGCCCTGAAATCCAGGGCATATTTTGACCTAAAATGAACACTAATTGCGGATCCATAGCTTATCATAATGGCGATATAACTTTTTTTTAAGTATTGCCAAGTCAACATGCAATTTAGGATATCCATCACCCTATCCCATAGGTAAAATATTACTTATGTCAATCTATTCAACAATTTTTTTGCTTTGATATTTGGTAGATGGAAGTCATTACCACTGGCTAGACTAATCAGGACTCGCACCAAATAGGCCTACTAAGATTCGGCGGTCGCAAGGGCATCATGAAATTCAATACAAATTTGTCATTGCTTAAAAAGATGTGCTAATATTTTAACTATTTCTTGAAGACATTTACAAGTATACATGGAGTTTTTGTCGAAGCTTTCAGGTGTGCCTCAGTCTCCGACTAAAAGTGGTTAACTACCTCTCCCTATCAAAAGGTTCTCCATTTCTAGGATTCGATATATTTGATTAAGAATGAACATCTAAACCTTCCCACCACATCCCGAGTAGCTGTACAAGGGAGATGACAGAATATGGGCAGACAGCAAGTTGATAATCAGCAAATTATTAGAACCCCAAGACTTGAAAAAGAGTGCAAAGAAGTTCCAAAAAGGTGTTTCTCTGAAAGCAAGACAAAGACTAGACCTCTATATAATAACAAAGGAAGGGACAGAATGAAGTACAGAAAAACCATTATGTTATGAGTGTTGAGTCATGTGGCTATATATGTAGGGCAATATGACCTCCTATGAAGGGAAATTTGCAGCATTAATCATCTTCATCATGTGGTTCTAAGGACAACATCATGATATAGAAATCCAATACCAAATTCCTTTCTTTCATATTGCAGCCTCATAATTCTTTCCTTACACCAAAAAACCTCCATTTTCTCTTTCTTTCTTGTTTCTTCTTTGTTCTTTCTTTCTGTGATAATGGAAGATAACAACTCTGGAATTGCAACAAGCCCAGTTGGATGGAAGGGTAACCATAGCCATAGCCATCATCATTTGGAATCACAAAGTCATAAAATCCACCAACATAATGACATTCTCCCTTCTACATCTATTCTCTTGATAATAATTCCCATTATAATTATCATCTTGCTTATTGCAATATCTCTTCTCATTGTAATGCTTAAGCGCATAAAATCTGCCAAAGACAATAGGATTAGTTCAAAAAGCAGAAGTGTTATCAACAACAGCAATTGTATGTTCATTGCTCATAGCACCATTAACATCCATTCCAGTCCAGGTAATGAAGAAGAACTCTCAGTTCAAAATTTTCTATTTCTCCTTTTCCTCTTATTAATGAGGATTTAAGAACATCTACATCTTCAAGTGAGCATATTAACACGCTGGAAAATGACTAACTTCTTCAAGTACACATATTTACATACTGCCAAATGTTTCAAGATCTAAGTATCAACCCAAAGTACAAATGTGACGCCCTAGGCGAATCCCACATCTATAAAACACGTAAGAGATTAAGAGATACTGGGTATATAAATAAACATGCCTTAGGCCTTACTAACGCATTTTAAGGCCGTGCAGGCTTGGAGCCCAAAGCGGACAATATTACTAGTGGACCGGTTGTTACAACATATACAAATGCATTTATGAGCATTGATCAAATATGGAATACCCCTCCACCCACCCACACCCACAAAAAAATTGTTTTTTCGGGTACATGACAATGTCATGAACCAAACAATGATTTTCGAGTAAATCTTTATAATAAGCATTAGTGATAGTGTTGTAAAAGTGGCAAATAACCTGTTAGTATATACTAACAGTGTCAAAATCTTGTATATAATTGAAATCCATATGACAATGTGATTGACAGAAGTAAAGGGTGGATGTCTGCATGGAGGAAGTTCAGGGCGAATGCCACAACCTAAATTGAGAGGAGTTCAAGTATTCACTTACAAAGAGCTGGAGATGTCCACAGACAAATTTAGTGAGGCAAATGTCATTGGGAATGGAGGTTATGGTGTGGTCTACAAAGGAATCCTCACTGATGGGACTGTGGCTGCAATTAAAGTTTTGCAGAGGGAAGGCAAACAATGGGAACGTTCATTTAGATTAGAGGTCTGTGACTTCATTTATTACCTCTTCTTTCCCTTTTCTTCATCCATTGCAATCTTTTCTTCTGTTTTTGTCTTTCATTCTTTCACAGAATAATGTACATGTTTCTTTCTATTTGTTTGGTATTCATTTATTTGGTTATCGCTTTATTGCTTATTGTTACTACTTCTTCTTTTTATCTTTATTTTAGTAGAGGGTCTATCGAAATTAAACAGAAGTTTACGTACACATTACTCTTTCAAACATCACTTTTGAAATTATACTGGGCTTGTTTGTTATAATTGTTGTTGTTGTTGGTATTTTATTTATTTATTTATTTATTCATTGTACTTTGTGGGGTGGGTTTGGGGTTGCAAAGAATTCTTAATAATCAGCATTCTTGGTGCAACCACTAATTAACAAGATCATTTGGAGAGAGTAGATTTTTCTGGGGTGTTGACTTTAGCGTGTGCTATTTCTTAAAACAAATGGTGTAGATTCAAAGTTGTCTTTGAAGATCACTTTTTGTTTTTCATTCCAAAAGTGTTGACTTATTCCTTCTTTATTTTTAAATCTTTTATCCCTCAAAAAGAGCACAGAAAAAGGCCCTAGGATAAGATGCACCCTCATACACACATGTGATGGTACTTTGGCAGCTTTCGGTGTAATTAAAGCATTTCAGGAATGTCAAGCCATCAGAACCATGTTTCTCAGAGCCACTGTCTGTCACATGTAAATGATTCATATGATTGCAATACTGTAGAAAAAAATACAAGTTTAAATTTTATTAAGTGTATATTAGTTACAAAAATGAATATGTAGATTATAAAAAAAGGATTACCACTTTAGTTTCCTAATTTATGTCTCTTCAAATTTTGTTTTTATTTTATATAATATTGGATCAAGTCAGGCTTAAATGTCACAACAAGGACATTTGAGATTGAGTCGTAGTTGTTATTTATGGTGCCTCGAATTTTGATTACTCTGTTATGTGTTTTTGGCAGGTGGATTTAATGAGTCGCTTACACTCTCCTTACTTGGTTGAACTTCTTGGTTACTGCGCAGACCAACAACACAGGCTCCTAATTTTTGACTATATGCCCAATGGTTCACTGCGGCAACATCTCCACATTCCACATAAACAATCCAAGAATTCATTAAACTGGGGAATTAGGTTGAGAATAGCCCTTGATTGTGCTAAAGCCTTGGAATACCTGCATGAGGACACAACCCCATCAGTCATCCACAGAGATTTCAAGTGCAGTAATGTTTTACTTGATCAAAATTTTAGAGCTAAGGTCTCTGATTTTGGTTTAGCAAAAATTGGTTCAGACAAAATTAACGGTCTAATCTCAACGCGAGTATTAGGGACCACAGGATATTTGGCCCCAGAGTGAGTATAGTACATCAATCATCTGTCCATTACATCTCCCCTTATCATAAACCATGCTCAATGAATGTGAAAATTACAACACAATCTTGCACATGGGGAGGCTTCAGTTCCTATCTTAGCACATTGTCACTTTCTGTATTTTCCCAAAATCTAAATCCAATATGTGGTCCTCTGTATAGCTAATGTTTGAAGACTGATTAGTTGTTCCAACTTACAGCTAACGTTTTTCGACATAAGACTAACTTGTGACCATTAACCAACTCAATTCTTGAAACAGGTATGCTTCAACAGGCAAACTTACAACAAAATCAGATGTATACAGCTATGGTGTGGTGCTTCTAGAGCTATTGACAGGCCGTGTACCAATCGATACAAGGCGACCTCCTGGAGAACATGTGCTTGTCTCATGGGTCAGTAAATAATATTACTCCCTTTGTTCCATTTTGTACGACACTCTTATCTTTTTTGTCCTTTCCAAAACGAATGACCCTTACCTAAGCATTTGTACGACTATTACTAAATTCACTTCTGATGAGTTTTCAGATTAACATACAATTAAAACTATTGCTAAGAAAGTATGTTTTTACCAATAAACTATCATAAAGTTGGCGTGAGAAATCAGAGAATGCCTAAATCCATTTCCTCTGTTATTTTAGGCTCTTCCAAGATTGACAAACAGAGAAAAAGTAGTTGAAATGGTAGATCCAAATTTAGAAGGCCAGTACACCAAGAAGGATCTAATACAGGTGAAGTTAACATTGTATGTTGTGTAGTACTACATATGAAACCATATTCTAATGATTTTGTTCTCTTCTGCTAATGTGCTTGTAAAGCAGGTAGCAGCTATTGCAGCAATGTGTGTGCAAACAGAAGCAGATTATCGTCCATTAATGACGGACGTTGTTCAATCCTTAATACCTCTTGTCAAGACTTATTCTTCTGCATGTCCTTCCAATTCCTTCAGATGCAACCAGACCGTGAGTCCGAGGTCTTAGGAGCTATTCAGAATCTGAAGACGTTCCCAACATTCTACTTCTATTCCATTTCAACAAAGTAATTTGATCAAATGGACAATGACAATCTGTAACATATTTCTGCAACACCGCAAAAGACATGGCTTATGTACTTAAATAGTGACACCCTAAATTATTACTATTCATCAACAATTTTTGTACTATTATTCTACCATATAATAATCCCTATATTATTATTCACATGTAACAATTTCTGCATTAAAGATCCTGGATAACTAATCCGTGAATCCCTGAAGATAGGCAATTATCTTGCATAGTCTCTTATTATTCATTCTTTAAACTATTTTTCAATTATGTTTAATGTATAGGCAAGGAGAAGACAAAACAACATATATGGGTCAGAAATCTTAAAGTTGTTAATTATTACTCCATCCGTTTCAATTTATGTGTTTTGCTTCTCTTTTAAGTATGTTTCAAAAAAAAAATATATCTTTCTATATTTAGTAACTCTTTTAACTCTAACTTTACACATGATAAAACTAAAGGGTATTTTGGTACATTACAAACATTTTTAGTTTTAAGATAATAAATTTAAAATTTGATATTTTCTTATTTTTTAAAATTCTATGCCCAATCAAACTAAAACAAATAAATTGAGTACTACTTGCTACTCGACAGTGTAGCACAAGTACGGATAGCAGCTAATGTGACAATCATGAGACTGTTCTTATGAAAGCAAGCAAATGTAAACAGTTTATAAGGACGAATGCAGATTGATCACAGCTAGAGAAAAAAGTAAGGGGCAGAATATACAAACAAACAGAAAGAACATAGACTCCATGTGAGGTGATGGTTTGTAACTAGTAACAACCATTTGGTACTAAGGAAACATTTGTATTTAAGTGAAAGGTGGGTAACAAACTACAACTGGATTTACCTCTTATAGCACAGGCAAGGAGAATAAAGGAAAAGAGATTACTCCATCATGTAGCACTATATCCAATGTTCCCTGTGTCATTAATTTTGAAATTAATTAAATCAGACTACATTATTGCTTTTATTAAAATTATAACGTACAACAAGTGCTGTGAATTTGTAATTTTTCCTAATTTCAAACTATTCAAGATATTATAATTTTAAAATATTATCAAAATTCACTTAGTGACTTTGGACATATTCAAAATGCTAGTGACAAACATTTTTAGATAAAGGGAGAAGTAAATTATGAACACATATAGTTTTTACGTTATAGCACAACATATAGAATCGCACTGGTACAGTACTACTTTAAAGAGAAACCTCTAATTGGCAAATTATTGGAATATTTTGCAGGTTATATATGCAGGCATCTAGCTAGATCTAGCCCTATTGTTCTATGCAAAATTTGAAGAGATAATTAACATATTCCCCCTTCATCTCACAGGTGAGTGACATTAGAAAGTATGTCTTTATTGAGTGCGAAAAAAGAAAGAAAAGTATAAAATGTAGCAAGTAGAATAAAGTGGCTCAATAATTGTACAAGGTACAAATACCTTTTTTCATCCACAGAAAATCTAAGCCACTATTATAGTGCTCTCCTTATATTTTTGATTTTGATATGTTAGAGAATACAATTATATCGGACATAGTTGCATAAATTTCATCCTTGCTTTTAGCAACCGCTATTGTATCATTATTGGGAATAGCATAGACAATGCATTGATTTGCTTCTTACTGGAAAATACTCCAGATAATGAAAGATTCTTATGACTTTAGCTACATATGATGTTGGCACCTTCCAATACCAAAGCACAAAGATGTTTGTGCCTTCTTCAATCCATTCATTACTCAAATGAAGATGTTGTCGGTACACAAATTAAAGCATCTCGCATTCACGTAAATTTCGAAGAAGGGTTGCATCTGAAGGGGTGTGATGTAGATAGCCTATCTTAATACAAATATTCGTGGCTGGTTTCACGGCTTGAACCCGTGAGTTTATACAGAAATAACTTTACCCTTACTCCTAGGGGTGGAGCCAGCATTCTGGCTACGGGTTCGATGAACCCAGTAACTTTGGTTCAAATCATATATTTGTCTTGAAAAATTCATTAATTAGTGATAAATTAATAATTAAAACTCATAAGCTTGAAATTCTAGTTCCGCCTTTGCTTACTCCAAGCTTCCCTTCAAAATAAAGATGTTGCTAAATAAATATGTTATCATCTTCTTCAAAATATTCTCTTTGGATTTTGAGTTCAAATGGGACGGAGAAGTGTTACTTTCTAGGAGATTGTGTTTAGAGGAATTGAGCTGAATAGGTGAATGTGAATCCTTTCTCTATTTTTCCTTTAGGTTGTTTTGTTGATATTGACCGATACATGCTTTTTTAGGCTAAGGGATTAGAGAAATCAAAGAGTTAAATAGTGGTCCACTTTGTGACCACAGATTTTCTCTTCTTTTTTCCTTTTCTTTGTCTCTCGCAGACAAAGTTTATCTTCATTACACCTTTTCGCTGTAATTCTTTTGCTTTGGATATACTCGTTTTTGTGAAATAACCATATTGCATAACTTTTCTCTGGTAGTTGCTAATATTATCTCAGCATTTAAAAGAAAAAAAAAATTGTCACCGAAAAGAATCAAATTCGTTGCGTTGTCTTCTACATGATAAACCTATAATAACGAAAGATGTTTGTATAGAAGCTCTTACGCACACCTTACCCCTACTGTGGGGTAGAAAGGTTGTTTTCGATAGACCCTCGGCTCCTTCCCTTCAAGAACTTTCCACCTTACTCTTGGGGTGACTCGAACTCACAACCTCTTGATTGGAAGTGAAGAGTGCTCACCACTAGAGCAACTCACTCTTGTCAAAGGACCTAAAATCAAAGTTTAGGAATCTCAATTTTTATGGGCTAGTGGACATAGATACTGTATATATATATATTGGCCCAATATTCTTGCAAAGTTTGATCGGTCAATATCGTTAATTAACGAGAAATTTTCAGAAACCACTATGTTTTAGTGATTATTAGCTTGTTATAGCTACGATTTACTAAATTACTTCCTATAGCTATGTTTTCAGTTGTTATAGACTGTATTCAATGTATTTTTGTTACTGTATTCATGAATACAGTAGCAAAACTCGGCGGAAAATAGAGGAGTCCAGCTAAGCATAGAATGTATTCGACTGTATTCACGAGCTGTATTCGTGAATACAGTAACAGAATTTGCGAAAAAAAAGGTCTTCTGCTGTTTAAAAACGGTAAGTGAATCAATTAACGTGATAGACTCCTAATATAACTCAACAAACTCAATTATAACACATAAAATTTAAATTTCCAGTTATAGAAAAGATTCTCAACTGAAAAATACCCAAAAATAGAGCAATCTTCAGAGATTCAATCCATCCTTTCTTTTTTAGTGGTATCTTTACTAAAATATTTTTTAGTGGTATCTTTACAAATAGATTTATATATTGAAATTATATAATTACATTGAATACAGTTAAATATATAAAAATATATTGAATACATGAAGTATAGCAGGTCATCTATAGTGCAAAAACATATGAATGCATACTGCAGATACATTTGAATACATATATACATCTGAATACATAAATTATATTAATTAAAAAAATATACGAATACATTCATAGAATATAGCGAGACAGTGAATACAATGAAATACATGAATTACAGCGAGATACATTGAAAGACAATGAAAAAAAAAGACAGTGAATACAATGAAATACAGCGAGATACATTGAAATACAATGAAGAAAAAGGTAACAGAATCTTCAAGACAAAGCAGCTACTTCTTTTTTTTCTTTTGCCGTTTTATTTTCGCATTCCTTCACCTTGTCAAAATCTTCTTCTTATAATCTCGTAGAATGAATTTGAATTAGTTGGACCGTGAATTTTGAATAACGAGTAGTTAAGCAAAAAAATCACTTCTCTACTTTCCATTCAAAATGGCGTGAAAGATATTGGATCTTAGAGTTTTTCAACTTCAACTATTTTAGATCGCCACGTTTGTTTCTAATGTAATCATCACTTCAGAAAAAGAAGAAGGTATCGCTGGCCGGAGGAAGGGGTTAGGGGTGACACAACAAGAAAGGGGGAAGTGGTCACCGGCTGGATCTGTCGTTGGCGGAACACAGCCCCTGTTAGGGTTTCTAAAAGCAGGGGAGGAAAAAAACGGGAAAAAAAGAGAAGAAAGAAGAAAGAGAAAGGAGGATAGAGGGAAGAGAGGGGGAGAGAGAAAAATAACACACAGCAAATTTAATGGCTTAAAGGTAGGAAGTGACCATAAATAGATATTTTACTATAAAAATTAAAAGGTAACTATATGAGATAATTTTTTAAAAGGGTATTTATTTATAATAAATACCTTAATTAATTAATTGGAATATCTATGTTCAAATATGAGGTTCTAACAGACTTACAAATCCCAACCAATACCGAAAAAATAGAACCAGTGAAAAATCAAACTAAGAGAGAATTTTGATCATTTCAGTTCGATAATGTATTTGTCTATCTATGAATGTAAAACTAAGCCAATTTGTAACATAATTGCCCGAAGTCTACATTTGAAATTTCGCTTCCTTGAATAGCTGTATTTAGCCCCAAGTCACAGTTATTTATGTGCCCCAAATATAGTTTAGTTTTCTTTTATTATCAAGATTCAAGCATCTCAAAGTAATTGGGAATAGAGAATAAGAGCTAGTCCTTACTCTTTAGTTGAGGCATCTCTGCCGTTTTAGTAACGAAATCCAGAATATTTGTGGCAAATGGGAGAAAAAATTATATATTCTCCGGGTATATATTCATTTGAAATAGCCGGCACACAGCACAGATGGAATCAGAAGAATAGTGTTATTTTAACAGGAAAAGTAGTTTTGTGATTTTACTTGGGATCATGTGTAAAATAAATTCTTAAGAATGATCACCTTTGATTAAAAAAAGACTAATTTAGTTACTTATTTTATGTATGAAAATATTCTAGGAATTATTCTTAACTTTGTCAACTTCACAAAACTAAGTTGCTAGCAAATCCAATTAAAGAGGTACGTAGTAGGGTCAGTGAATACTTACATGCATTTGGTATTAAATTAGGGAACTTTACATAATTGTCACAGTTTAAAAGAAATATAACAAATTCTTAGGATGAAACTCAATATTACAGTTGTAGTAGGAAAATATTTATATTTGTAGCACACATTTCCATTAAAATATGAATATTAATTATTAATCTCTAAACAT